TCGTGTCTTTGCTGATTTGATTGATAGTTGTAGAATTTATGAAGAGGGTAATAATGCTCATTATAAGATTATCAGTGAGAAGAGGGGTTAGCACCAATAGAACCTTGGTAAGCCTTACGATGCCCCAGTTGGTAAGGGTAAACATAAAGCTGCTCAGGGTCAGAGAACTAGTGGGGGAGATTCTCCTGCTGGTGCGGTTTGTTTTACATATGGAAAACCTGGTCATAAGAGCAATGTGTGTACTGTTGAGGTGAAGAGGTGTTTTCGTTGTGGTAAGACTAGACATGTTATATCCGAGCGCAAGCATAAAGAGATGATTTGTTTTAATTGTGGTAAAAAGGATACATTGGTAGTCAGTGTTAGAAACCAAAGAAGGCGTAAACCAGTGGAAAAGTGTTCGCGTTGGCTGGGACTCCGACAACTAATGAGGACAGACTCATCAGAGATACATGTTTCATTAATAGTACTCCTTTTATGTCATTGTTTGGATGCTTGTTTTAACCCATATAAAGACTTAGTTAATTTACACACTTTATGTTCTTGACCTTTGATAATAAACCCTTCAGGTTGTTTCATATACACCTCTCCATCCAATTCTCCATTTAGGAAAGCGGTTTTAACATCCATTTGATGAATGAAAAATTTATAGATGGAAGCAAGTTCCAGAAGCACTCTAATTGATGTAATTCTCGCAACATGTGCATATGTATAAAAATAATCAATTCTTTCCTTTTGTGTAAATATTTTAGCGACAAGTCTTGCTTTGAATTTTTCAATGGTACCATCAACTTTCATTTTCCTTTTAAAGATCCATTTACAACCTATTGGTTTTGATCCCAGTGGGAGATCTACTAGTTTCCATATTTTATTACCCATAATTTAGTCCATTTCCTCTTGGATAGCTTCTTTCCAAAAAGCAGAATCTTGAGATTTTATTGCCTCTTCAAATATTTCTGGATCATTCTCTAGGTTATAGCAAATTGGGCACATAACAATTTATGGAATCATTATTTCCTTCTACAAGGAACATAAAGAAGTTTGATCCATAGTTTTTCACTTTTCGGATTCTTTTACTTCTTCGAGGTTCTAAACATTCTAACATATTATTATTAGATACATTACTTTCTATACTTGGAACATCATAATGAACATTGTCTTTTGGGTATTGAATTGAGATAAATCTACTTTCTTGAAAAATTGCATCTCTTGACTCAATCACGATATTAATAGGATATGAGTCATTGGATTCAATAACAAGGAATCTATGTGCTTTGCTATTTTCAGCATAGCCCACAAATACACATTCAATTCCTTTTTCTCTCAATTTCTTTCTTTTTGGTTCAGGCACCTTTACAATTGCTCTACAATCCCAAACTTTTAAATAGTTAAGATTGGGTTTTCTTTTCTTCCATAGTTCATATGGGGTTATCTTATTCCTTTTATTAGGAACTCTATTCAATATATAACATGCAGTTAGCATGGCTTCACCCCAATATCCTTTAGATAAACCAGAATAGGATAACATGGCATTTACCATTTCTTCCAACACTCTATTTTTCCTTTCTGCTATTCCATTTTGTTGTGGGGAATATGGTGCAGTTATTTGATGTATAATACCAGTGGACTCAAAATAATTAGGATGATAGAACTCCCCCCTCTATCACTCCTAAAACATTTAATGAAAGTTTCATGTTGAAGTTCTACTTGTGCTTTAAAAATTTTAAATTTTTCTAAGACTTCATCCTTAGAGTCCATTAAATAAACATAACAAAATCTAGTACACTAATCAATGAAAGTGACAAAATATTTTTTACCACCAATTGTGGGCCAACCATGTAAATCACATACATCAGAATGAATTAAATCTAGCACTTTAGAACTTCTTTCAACTGTTTTAAAAGGTTGTCTTATGATTTTAGTTAACATGCAAGTAGTACATGAATTTGAATTTTTGTCAATAGTTGGAATCAAATTTGATTTCATCATATCATTTAATTTTCTAAAATTAACAAGTCCAAGTCGCATATGCCATAAATCATAAGAATCAACAATATAAGCGAAATCATATTATTATTATTGATATTAACAACATTACACTTGAACATATTCTCACAAAGATAACCTTTCCCCTACAAACATTCCCCTTTTGAAGAGAATAAATTTATCTCCCTCAAATATAGATTTGAAACTATACTTATTAAGTAAAGGTACATAAATCAAGTTCTTTCTAACTTCAGGTACATAAAGTACATCTTTAAGAGTGAGTAATTTTACAGACGTGAATTCAATCTCTACCGATCCTTTTTCTTTGACTTGAACCGTAGAAGCATTTCCCATGTACAAAACACTACCATCTTCTCATTGATGGTCTTGAATAATTCTTTATTTTTGCACACGTGACGGGTAGCACCAGATCCTATCCACCAAGAACTAACATCTTGTATCATGTTGATTTCAGAAATGACAACAACAAGATTATCTTTTGTTGCTTTTGAAGTCTTTTCTTTATTCTCTCTTTTTAATAACCTGCACTCACTTTTAAAGTGTCCTGGTTTTCCGCAATGATAACAACCTCCTTTATTTTTCTTTCTATAATTTTTATTGCCTTTACCATTATGATTTTCATGAGATTTTCCAAAATCCCGTTTCCTTTTCATGGAAGTTTTACTAGACTTTTCATCCTCCATCACATGGAGCTTCTCTTGAGTAAATTGGCTTTTAGTATCACCTTGCTTTTGATATTCTTCTTCTTAACGAAGGTGATTACCCAATTGTTTAAGAGACACGTCCTCCTTCTTATGCTTCATGGTTCTTTTAAAATCTTTCCAAGAAGGAGGAAGTTTATCTATTATGGAGGATACAATTATAGTTCCATCCATGTTCATATTGTGTTGTTTGTAATTATTGAGAATACATTCAATTTCGTGCAGTTGTTCCATAACAGACTTACCATCTATCATTTTATAATTATTAAATTGAGAAACAAGGAACTTCTTACTTATAGCGTCTTCTTGCATGTATTTTGATTCCAATTTCTCCCATAAGTCTTTTGCGGAGTTACTATTCTGATAAATGTCGAATAGCGAATCGCACATTTCGTTGAAGATGTGTCCCATGCATATATAATCATCATTTTCTCACTTGTGTCTCTCTCTGATTTCAGCAATTGTTTCATTTTTTTTTTCGTGCCAAGAAAAATTCAATTTATAACGATGCTACATTCTGTTTGGGAACAGAAGCATCTCTTAAAATATTGTAATACACCGTTTTGATTACACCACAGTAACAACGCTTTGCTAAAAACTAGTAATAATTATTTATAAGTTACAAATGTTCCTAATTAAATAACAACCAATGACATAGCATATTATACCAACAATATTCAGCACAGCACGTAGCATTCAATTTAGAGATGAAAAAATCCACATATAATATTTATTATTAATTCAAATAATAGAAATATTCTATTTAATATTATTTTAGAAATTCTCTTACTGTAACTTTTTTTTAAATACATCCAATATATAAAAACTGATGTAAATCGAGGTTGCCTGAAAACAAGCCTTATCAATGATAACTTTCTGATGACATAATATGTCTTTCTGCTTGTAGCTGCATTTCTATATGTCATAAATTCAGGCTTCTCGCCATTTCTCATTGTATTCCATCTATTTATAATTATATGAGCATTTACTATAATTAATTACAAATATTTCCTATTTGATTTTCTAATCAATTTTAGGACTTGGAAATATATACAATTATGAGATAATTAAATCATATGAAATCATTCTATATTAATCAAATCATATGAAATCTTTATATATTAACACCCCCTCAAATTGATGCGGTTGGTAAAGAAACGTCAATTTGTTAACAAGAAATAGATGACATGGACGAGGTACCGCATTAATAAAAATATCTGTAATTTGAAATTGAATACTAACATAAGGAAGTGATATTAGTTGATCATCATATGCATCACGGATTGGTTGACAATCGACTTCGATATGTTTTGTGCGTTCATGAAAAACTGAATTTGCAACACAATATGAATAGCAAACATTCTCTATGGCATTTTAAATGGTAGACTGTCAATTATATACCAGACCCTTTTAGACACTTTTATACACTTTACTTTGAGCTTTACACAAATGTATTTGACCAAGTTTTACATAATACAGTTCATGAACTTTATCTCTTGTAATTTACTGTTGTGTTAGTCTTTGACTTCCTATCATGTGCAACTTATTCAATTAACATCATTATGCTGGCTAAACTGTTTTGGTTTCAATACAAAACATGGAAATAAAATAGGGTTGCAATGATTTTTGGTTGGGTGTGATAACATCAACTAGGCAACACTTAGGTCATTGATTCATGCACATGTCGTCATTTTGAATTACACAGTAGTTCGAGTAAACTATGCTATGTGTCCTTCGATCAGGCTCTTGATTTTCCTATCATATATGAGCACCATTTCATGTTCGGTTATAATCAAGTTTGTAAATATGAACAAACCTCGATAGAAAATGGAATTTTTTGTCTATAATTAAGAATAAACTATCTATACACTAAAATCATATGCCACCATTAACCCATAATTATTTTTTTATGCTCATTTAATTCATCATATTACATGTCAAACAAGATTACAACACAATTTTATCTACTTTTCCGGACGCACGAGTATGTTACTATTATTATTATTATATTTAGAAATTCTCCAAGACTTTGGATTGACAATTTTAAGCAGCTATAAATATAATTGTATAGTAGAGAATCACACGGTACATGCAGCCCTGCACCTCGCCCAGAAATATATAATAACACGAAAGTTTATCATTTTTTTTCACTCAAAGCTAACGGATAAGTAACATGTTGACTACAAACTTTATCATAAAATTCAATACTATAAGATAATGATATCAACCTAAAGGTTTGCATTCGACACATACAAAAGCAAGACATCACTTTATATCTTAATAATGAAAATAAAACTAGCCAGTCTGGACTTGAAGATTTTTCAGCATGCTCTCCAGCTCCTTCAGATGATCCTCAAGAACCTCCACTTCTTTCTGTTTGTTATTCTTATCAAGCAAATTTGTAGCCACAGTAATTGCATTGTTGATCTTCTCACTTTTTTGAAAGGAGAGCATTAAATAATGGTCATTCTTCAAAGCATTCTTCAGATTGTAAACACAAGAATCCAATGCACTCATTACCTCGGCCTTCCTCAAAAATTTCTTATCTTCCGCTTGGTATGTTTCAGCATCTTCAATCATTTTTTTAATCTCGAATGTTGACAGCCTTTCTTTGTCATTGGTTATGGTGATCTCGTTTGTATTGCCCGTAGATATTTCCTTAGCAGAAACAATTAGTATACCATTATCATCAATGGCAAAGCATACATCTAAGGGCTGGCCCCGAGGAGTACCTGGAAGGCAAGAAAGGTTAAACAGCCCAAGTAGATTGTTGTCTGAGGCTCTTGCTCTCTCACCTTCATAAACCTTAATTGGGACAATGCAATGGTTATCTATAGCTGTAGCATATCCTCTAGACTTCTTGACAGGTATGGTAGTGTTCCTAGGAATCACCACACTCATCACACCACCAGTGTCTGCCGAGATACCAAGTGATAATGGGGTAACATCTCGCAGCACTAAGTTTGGGACATTCTTAAAGCCTTCGCTCAAAATAGCAGCCTGAACAGCTGCACCATAAGCAACTGCCTCGTCGGGGTTGATAGTCTTGCACAAATCTTTTCCCTTGAAAAAGTCTTGCAACATATCTTGCACTTTGGGAATCCTAGACGAGCCACCCACAAGAACAACATCATCAATATCACTCATGTCTACCTTTGAGTCATTAAGACAACTTTCAACTGTTTTCATACACTCATTAAAGAGGTCCATATTAATTTCCTCAAACTTGGCACGAGTTAATGATGAAGAAAAGTCAATTCCCTGAAATAAAGAGTCTACCTCAACATTGGTGACGAAAACAAAAGATAGTATCCTTTTGGCCTTCTCACAGGCAGTTCTCAACCTTCTTAAGGCTCTTGAGTTCACACTAATGTCCACTCTATTCTTCTTTTTGAACTCCTCTACAAAATAATTCACCAATCTGCTATCAAAGTCCTCTCCTCCAAGATGAGTGTCTCCAGCCGTGGCTTTTACTTCAAAGACATCGCCCGTGATTGTGAGGATAGATACGTCAAAAGTACCACCACCAAGATCAAACACAAAAATATTCCGTTTACGGTCATATTCACTTCTCTTATCAAGACCATATGCAATAGCGGCAGCAGTAGGTTCATTAATTATTCGAATCACATTAAGGCCAGCAATGACACCAGCATCTACTGTGGCTTTTCTTTGAGAATCATTGAAGTAAGCCGGCACAGTAACAACAGCATTCTTGACGGCCGACCCTAGATATGCCTCTGCAACCTCTCGCATTTTTGCGAGGACCATGGATGATATTTCCTCAGCACAAAATTGCTTCTCTTCACCATTATACATGAGGGTAATCATGGGTTTGTCATTCAGTCCAGAAATAACCTTGAATGGCCACCACATAATATCTTTTTGAACCACTGTATCACTAAACTTTTTACCAATTAACCTTTTAGCATCTGAAATAAAACAGTACTAATAATTGTAATTCTTTGAAGAAAAAAACATAAAAAGTTAGAATTTAGCAATATCATGATTTGTGACACAAACTCAATCTCTATTTAAATTCAAAAGGGTAACATTAAATAGATGAAGTTGTAGAGAGAATAGAAATATACCAAAGACTGTGTTTCCTGTGTTAGTTGCAACTTGATTCTTAGCAGCATCACCAATCAACCTTTGATCATCAGTGAAAGCAACAAAAGAAGGTGTTGTTCTATTTCCTTGATCATTGTGTATGATCTCAACTCTGTTGTGATGGTCCATCCACACAGCAACACAAGAATATGTTGTTCCAAGGTCTATTCCCACAGCACGTCCTTCGTATTTTTTTGCCATGTGATCTTTCAAGGAACTCAAAGAAGCTCAGAAAAATTTGTTAGAAACTATAGCACTTCAAAATAAATTGAACTTGTCTCCTATATAGTTTTATAGAACAAATGGAACTATTTCTTTAAAAAAAGTCAAGTGTTGGATGCTTCTGTCATGTACAAAAATATATGCAATCATAATTGATTTTTAAATGCAACAAAACCGCGTAATTGTCTTTCACAAGGCATTCAATTTTTTAGAAAGCAAAAGTCAATATCCGGTGCATTTTTAAAAAGCAAAATATCACTTGGCAAGTCCAATAGATTAAAGCCTTATATGACATTTCTTTTTTTAAATACATCTAACTCTCAAGTTGATATAGCCTTAATTAGAGTTTTGGTTGGAACAACTCTCCAGAATTCACATATTCTTAAAGCAAATGCATAATTTTGACAAAGTCTTGAAAATGTAAACTGTATATAGAACTGATGTTACTTGGCTATTAAAAAAAATTAAAGTTTTATAAAAGTCGACGGATTTTATCTAATCGATAACTTTTAATTTAATACAGTATTCAAATATTATAAATATCAGTGGATCATAAGACTCAATTCAACCCAACCCTAAGATGTGTCCAATTCTACTCTGATTTGATAAGCAAAACTTGAAATTTATTAAAGTGTAGGGACTTGCTACGATGCAAATAATTAACAATCCAAAACTTCAGAACAGATTTAAGTTGGACATAACATATCTCTTTCCATGACCTTAATTAACAGTTCTATTACGTTTGTGGTGGGAATTATAAATAAATATTCAATGTAAATTCCCTGTTAATTGAAGTAGTATTCTTAAAGTAAATAGCTATTCGTTAAAATTTGGATTCACTTTGTCCCCCAACAAACTATTTGTTACGTGGGTCGGGTTAACGCAGATGGATTGAAATCGCATTTATTAATGTGTGGAATTGATAGAAGTTATACGTGTTGGATATTTCACAGTGAAAAAAGTAACGACAACGTTGAACTGGAGGAGAAAAGTAGTACGGCCTATGCTTCAGACGACAAGGACACAGATACATACGATTTTCATCGAGTCGAAGAGATTGCAGATGCACTTGAAGAAGATCTTCAGGATTGTCCCAAAATGTTTGAGAGATTGGTAAGCGATGCAGAGAAACCGTTGTATAAAGGGTGCACTAAATTCACAAGACTGTCTGCGGTATTAAAGTTGTACAACTTAAAGGCGGGCAATGGATGCTCAGATAAAAGTTTCACAGAGTTATTAGCCCTTATGAGAGATATGCTTCCGGAGGATAATGATCTTCCTAATCGAACCTATGAGGCCAAAAAAAATGTTGTGCTCTATTGGCATGAGCTATGATAAGATACATGCTTGTCCAAACGATTGCGTTTTGTTTCGAAACGAATATGCATCGTTAAATGAGTGCCCTAAATGCGGTTTGTCTCGATATAAGAAAAAATTGTCTCCAGCAAAAGTCTTATGGTATTTTCCTATAATTCTGAGATTTAGGCGAATGTTTCGTAGTGAAACCGATGCAAGACACCTTACTTGGCATGCAGATGAAAGAATTATTGATGGAAAGTATCGACATCCGACAGATTCACCACAGTGGTCGAAAATTGATAACGATTATCCTGATTTTGGAGAAGAAGCAAGAAACCTTCAGTTGGTTTTATCTACTGATGGAATGAACCCACATGGTCTTCAAAGTATCTCACATACCACATGGCCTGTGATTCTTATGATTTATAACCTACCTTCATGGCTATGTATGAAGCGTAAGTACATGATGTTATCTATGTTAATATTTGGGTCTAAACAACCAGGGAATGACATAGACGTATACTTGACACCTTTGATCAAAGATTTAAAGATTTTGTGGGAGAACGGGGTGGAGGTTTATGATAGATATAGGAAACAAAGTTTCAATTTGAGGGCGATGTTGTTTGGCACAATTAATAATTTTCCAGCATACGGGAATCTATCTGGGTATAGAATTAAAGGTCAATGTGTGTATCATGTTTGTGAAGATGGAACCGATACGACGCGTTTGAAACTTTGTCAGAAGAATGTATTTCTCGGTCATCGTAGATTCTTACATTCTAAACATCACTACTGTGCATGGAGAAAAGCATTCAATGGAGACACCGAACAACGTAAAGCTCCACCTGCATTGTCAGGTGACCAAATATTTGAAAAGGTGAAAGATGTGTGTACTCAGTTTGGCAAGCCTTTTGCGCATACGGTTGTCAAAGGTGGGTGGAAGAAGAGATCAATTTTTTTTGAATTGCCATATTGGAAGTCTCTGTATGTGAGACATTTTTTCGATGTTATGCATATTGAAAAAAATGTATTTGAAAGTGTTATTGGTACGGTACTCAATATTAAAGGAAAGTATAAGGATGGCCTTAAAGCAAGGGACGACATGTTAAAGATGGGAATACGAACTGAACTAGGACCCATGAAGAAAGGAAGCCGAACATATCTACCACCTGCTGCTTTTACTCTATCTAGAAAGGAGAAAAAGATATTGTATAAATTTCTAAGTGAAGTTAAAGTTCCAGAAGGATACTCTTCAGATATTAGAAGACTTGTGTCTATGAAAGACCTCAAGTTAAAGAGTTTAAAGACACATGATTGTCATGTTATAATGGAGCATTCTCTACCAATAGGTATACGTTCTATTTTTCCAGATAAAGTAAGGAGTGTGATAACTAAGTTGTGTTTTTTCTTTAGGTCAATTTGTAGTAAGGTGATTGATCCTGAGATCTTACCAACATTGCAAAAAGAAATTGTTATTACTTTGTGTAAGCTTGAAATGTATTTTCCTTCCTCATTTTTTGACATAATGGTGCATCTAGTTGTTCATCTTGTGAAAGAGACACAGTTGTGCGGCCCAGCTTATATGAGATGAATGTACCCTGCTGAACGATATATGAAAGTATTAAAAGGGTACGTGAAAAACCGAAGTCGCCCAGAGGGTTGTATTGTTGAGCGATACATTTTTGAAGAAGCGGTTGAGTTTTGTACTGAATATTTGTCCAAAGTTCAATCCATTAGACTCCCCAAAAGTCATATTTTTGAAAAAAAGGAAGGTAACAGATTAATTGGAAATAAAATTGTGATAGTATCAAAAGATGAACGGGATCAAGTGCATTTGTATGTTCTGCACAATGACAGTGAGGTTGAGCCATATGTTGAAATGCACAAGGATATACTCTGAGGGTTAAATCAAAATAGAAATGAAAATTGGATAGTACAGGAGCACAATCAAAGTTTTATACCATGGTTTAAGGATCATATTTTTTCAAAGCTTCATTCAGATCCCGCTTCAATAACAGAAAGGTTGAGATGTTTGGCATATGGTCCAAGTTTGCATGTGTTTTCCTATAACGCATACGCAATTAATGGATACATATTTTATACCAAAGAACAAGATGATAAAAGTATTATGCAAAATAGTGGTGTATCGTGCTTGCTGAAGCAATGCACATTTCTAGTATGAAGGACCTAAACCCCAAATATGCAAATCTGTCATATTTTGGAGTTATCGAGCATATTTGGATGTTTGATTATATATTTGGATGTTTGATTATGAGAAGTTTCAGATTCATATCTTTGGTTGCAAGTGGGTAAGTAGTGGTGACATACGAATGGATATGTCAGGATTTTTGCAAGTGGATTTTAATAGAGAGGGGTACAAAGAAGAGCCTTTTATTTTAGCCTCTCAAGCTAAACAAGTGTTCTATGTCACTGACCCGGCGAGTACAAAATGGTATATAGTGCTTTTTTCTAACAAACTGGTTGATGATAACGGTGTAGACCAAGGTGGTATTGATGATGATAATGAGTCATGTATTAGACGGAATGAGTCGTATATTATAAATGATCAAGATGAGAATATTATAGCGGATGGATCATATATCAGAAATGATCATAATGAGGGAATTTGGATAAATCCATCCGTCCGCATTGTTAAGAAACAAGTAATTCATGTTCCAACCAAGAAAAGAAAGAGATGTTAGTGAAAGAGTTAGAATATTAAAATGTTTATGTTTATGTTTGTGTTTACGTTTAAGTTTATGTTTATGTTAATTTTTGGCATTGTCATTTTATATATATTGAAATGACTATGGACTTTTATATTGGGTTTATGTTTATGTTTATTACAGGTTAGATGACTACTAACGACGATCACCCACGTGATGATTCTGTGCATGATGGAGATAAGGCCGTTAGTAAAACAGAATGGAATATAGAAGAGGAATAACAATAATGAACAGAATAATTCGGGATAGAGACCAAGGCATAAAGTATGATGTGCATTGGAGCCAAGAAGGCCAACTCATTGAGCCTAACGGTTCAACGTTGACGAGTTATCTCAGTTCGGTGGTAAGAAGATAAATTCCAATCACATATGAAGATTGGAGAGCAAGAGTGTTGGACGACGCTAAAGATAAAATATGGAGTGAGATACAGGTACCATATGTGATGTTAATTGTTTTTAATGACGATTATATCTCTAAATTACTTATACTAACGCACTTTGTGTATGATTTTCGTAGAGGTCGTTCATCATTGAGGATACGAGGAGAGATTATATTCTTAAATTGGCCGGGAAACTACATAGAGGATTTAGAGCTTTCTTGTCAAACAAGTTTCTAAGAGATGCGGATAAAATTTTTGTTGATGCTGAGCTTCCAAAGAAATATGTTGATTTGATTACAGATGAAAAATGGGAAACTTTTAAATCGAAAAGAAATACCTAAAAATTTGAGAGCTTAAGTGTTGTAAATGGACAAAGAGCATCAAGTCCAGCATATCCATAAATAAAAGGCCGTATGGGATATACACGCTTACAACAATCTATTGTAAGTATCTATAAATTGCAAAGTATCTATAATATATACACACTTATATTTGATTATGTTTTTTGGCTTAATGTGTAGCTAACAAAAGAGAATAGTTCTGAAATATCTCTTCCAGAACACATTTTGTGGAAG